AGCCATGTGGCTTTTGGGTTTCATCATTAGCTTTACATGCCCCCGCAAATTGAGCATCTAGAGAGCTGATGCTTAATTTGTTGCGCAGAGTGATGAATCGAGTGACCGGAAGAGACTTGGTGAGGATATCAGCGAGCTGTTCGTCTGACGAAATATGAGATACGGCCACTGTTTGTTTTTGAATATGATCCCGGATGAAGTGGTGATCTATTTCAATGTGCTTTGTCCGGGCATGGAACACAGGATTGTGAGCAAGAGCTAGCGCCGATAGGTTATCACAGAGAATCTGTGTAGGTGAAGTGAGACTAATTTGGAAATCAGAGAGGAGGCGTCGTAGCCAAATCACGTCTGATAGAGCTGAAGACAAGGCTCTGTATTCAGCTTCTGTGGAGGACTTAGCCACGGTAGTTTGTTTCTTCACACTCCAAGAAACAAGGTTGGAGCCAAGGAAGGTGCAAAAACCAGAGATGGATTTCCTGTCGGTTGTGTTAGCTGCCCAGTCTGCATCGCAGTAAGTGGTGAGTTCGAGTGGACCGGAAGTAATGGGGAGCCCAAGTTGTTGAGTACCCTTGATGTATCGTATTAAGCGTTTGAGCTTCAGGAAATCAGTGTAAGTAGGATTGTGCATTGATTGGCAGATTACATTAGCCGCAAATGACAGATCAGGTCTAGTAATAGTAAGATAATGCAAGGAACCTGCAAGTTGCCTGTATAATTTGGGATCGTCAAATGGTTGCAGATTGTGGGCTGCAGAAGAGCCAGAGGCTGTAATTGGAGTGCTAGAAGGTTTGCAGTCTTGAAAACCCGAGGCTAGAAGAATGTCCCGTGCATAGTGGGATTGGTGGAGAAAGGCTCCAGTCTTAGTGTAAGAAATCTGTATCCCGAGGAAGAGATTCGCTTGACCCATTTGTCTGAGATCAAAAGTATCACGTAGACCTTGGAGAAGAGTATTGATGGTGGTCGTATGATTGCCAGTCAGCAAGAGGTCATCAACATAGATGATAATGTATAGCTGTGTTGTACCATGATTGTAAACCATCATAGAGGGATCAACATGACTGAAGCAGAACCCGAAGTGAACCAGAAAACCGGTTAGTTTGTGGAACCACTGGCGAGGTGCCTGTTTAAGACCATAGATGGCCTTGTTGAGTTTGCAAACGTGGTTGGGTCGAGTTGGATCTATGAACCCTGGCGGTTGCAGCATGTAAACGTCTTCCTTGAGGTCCCCATGAAGAAAGGCATTGTTCACATCAAACTGAAGTAGTGGCCAGTGGTGTTGAAGAGCTATGATTAGTAGGATGCGGATTGTGGGCATTTTGGCAACATGACTAAATGTGTCTCGGTAATTAATACCATATTGCTGAGTGTAGCCTTGAGCTACAAGCCGGGCTTTATACCGATCAAGAGTGCCGTCGGGTTTGGTTTTGGTCTTATATGTCCACCTACAGCCAAGGATGGGAGCTTTGGGGGGGAGGTGGAGTAAGAGACCATGTGTTTTGTTTGTGAAGAGCCTCTATTTCCAGCGACATTGCAGCTCTCCAATGTGGAGAGGTAGATGCAATCTTGTAGGTAGATGGGGTGGAGGATATATCTTCAACTGCGAGAAGATCATAAATTTTCTTGGGTTTGGAATGACTCGTTTTGGATCTGGTCTCCATATGATGGGTGATTATGGGTTGGACAGGAGGGTCAGGAAGAAGAGTGAGAGGAAGAGAAGGAGTAGCAGGAGTTTCGGAAATGTTGGGGAGGGGAGAGTCTGGAATTGGTAATTGGTTGGGAGGTGATGGAGGTAATGTAGGAGAAGTGGGTATGTTTGATGTGGGGATGAGAAGGGATGGAGGAAGGTACGTAGTGGTAGTGTGAGGAGAAGAGTTTGGGGGAGATTCAGGAGAGGAGAATTGTTGTTCATGGAATTTGACATGTCTGGATATGTAAAGTTTGTTGGTAGGTTGGTGAAAACACCGATAGCCCTTGTGAGAGGGAGAATAGCCCAGGAAAATGCAGGGGAGAGAGCGCGGAGCGAGTTTGTGAGGGGAATAAGGTTGAAGCCAGGGGAAGCAGATACAGCCAAAGGGTTTTAAATGATCATAACTAGGAGATCGACCATGAAGAAGAGTGAAAGGAATTTTAGAGTTAAGAGCTGAGGTGGGTAGTCTGTTAATTATATAATTGGACGTTTGAAGAGCTTCGGCCCAAAAGCGAAAGGGAAGATTAGCGGCGTGCAGAAGCGTCCGTGTTGTTTCAATGAGGTGCCTGTGTTTGCGCTCGGAGACGCCATTTTGCTGTGGGGTATGAGGGCAGCTAAATTGGTGGGATATCCCGTGAGTGAGGAGCAGGTCTTTGAAGGCATGACTGGTATATTCTCCTCCGGCATCTGATCTGAAGGTTTTAATGGTGGTATTGAATTGAGTTTTGATCATTTTTAGGAATTGTAGGAATTTTGTTATGGTTTCATTTTTAGAGTGCATTAAATAAAGCCAACAGAAGCGAGTAGCATCATCTATGAAGACCACATAAAACCGAAAACCATTGATGGATGAAATCGGGGAAGGACCCCAAACATCAGAGTGTATTAATGTAAAGGGTGTAGTTACATGATAAGCATTCCTAGGAAAGTTGAGACGGTGGCTTTTAGCCACATTACAAGACGTGCAAACAAAACTAAAAGAACTATCTGTAAGAGCTGGAATGGTTTTGGAAAGAGCTGCCATCGCACGAGGGTGAGCGTGACCCAATCAAGCGTGCCAGAGAAGAACGGACGTTGGTGTCGTGTGAAGAGCAGAGGTTGTTGCAGTTGCGGATGTTTGGAGCGGGTAGATGCCGTTGCGGTTAAGGCCATGATGGAGAGTTGTATTGTCCCGAAGGTCCTTGATGATATAGCCACCGGGATCGAATGAGATAGAGCAATGATTGTCATATACGAGTTGAGAAATGGAGAGCAGATTGTGTGAAAGAGATGGAACATGGAGAAGGTTTGAGAGTTTGAGCTTACGATTGGTGTCGGGTAGTGGAAGAAGACCA